TAATAGATAATTTTTTACTCTATTTGAAATAAATACAATAAAAATATTAATATTATTATCTGTTCTTATATGTAATTATATTATATATGCATATATAGCAGCATAAAATAACCTTGATATTAATTTTAGCGCAGGTCAGTTAAGTGTAATGTTAGCTCTTGGCAATGATATAGCAAATAGTGTGTGGGAATATTGTCTAAATGGAAAACAGAAACCAAATTCAGATTCTCCTAGAGAAGAAAAGGAACAATGGATCAGATGGAAATATGAAGATAAAATTTTTTTACCACCAATTAATCCAAACATTTCTCTAGGGAAGTTGCTTATTGATTCAGTCTGCCGGTAATTACTTTAAAACTTTGAAAAAATTATATTATTATAAATAATTATTACATAATTTATTATGTATATTAATGTAAATATAATGTAGGGGTGATATGAGAGCATTTACATTGTGCTTAGCCAGATGTAGTTACGAAGATATTAATATGCCTGTTAGTATGGAGGATTTAAGAACACCTTTGCATTTGGCTTGTGCCACAGGAAATTTAGCTATGGCACAACTTCTTATATGGGTATATATTCACTCTTGAATAATTATGAATAACTATATATATTATATTATATAGTATTAAAAATTAATATTTTTATATTATTGAATAATTACAGCATAAAGCAAATCCTCAAAATTTAGATCATGAAGGACGTACGTGTATGTCATATGTACGAGCACTTGAAAGAACGCTTGACAATTCATCGGATTCTATGGAAATGCAGAAACTTCTTGAAGTACTTGAACAAGCTAGTGTTTCTGGAATAGATGATGTAGAAACTTCTCAGTATTAAGATTGTTTACATTACGTACTTATTTTGCATGTAAAGCCATACTTTAATTAATGGCTTAGAGTTGATAACTTTCATTATCATTAACAGTACTGATATTCAGAAAAACTACCAAAGTATGTTAAATGAATTTGAAGTATAAAACTACAAAATAGAAAATTTATGTTACAATATATATCTTTTTAATGATGGCTATAAATCTCATAAGAAATTTGATCAAATATTTTAACAAATATAACATACTTTGCATATATATTTGTACATTGAAAAGTAGTTTGAATTAAAAATATAATTCATATTATTGTATTTAATAAGGTTTAGGTCAGTGAAAGTAATGTCTAATAGTAAATTGGAGTGTACATTATCAATGACTGAGAGTACAAACACTCATAAATCTAGTTATATTTATATATTGAATACATTTAATGTATTTGAAAAATGCTTTTATAATTTTTATTTTATTAATTATGAATTAAATGTAATTACCTCGCAATATAATTGGACTTATTTTGATACCTGACCAAACTTGGAATTTCGTTTTATTAAAATTTTTTAAAATCAATTCTTATTTAAATTTATTAGATGAACAAATTGCATTTATTACATAATATCCTTCATCTATCATATCCGAATTATCTAAAAAAAAAAAAATAATTAAAATATACATATATATAAATAGTATATATATATACTAAAATATTAAGTTTTTAATCTATAAAATTTTACCTAATTCATATATATTTGTTGGAAAAATCGGTGATTCACTGTAATATTTAATTGTTGTTAATTTTGTTAATTTAGACTGAGATGAAAGTGAAATCCTTCGTATACTTGGGACTCTGAAAATAACATAATAATAATTATAAACAATATAATTTACTAGAATTATTAAAATTATCAAACTTACTTATTTAAATTATTAATTGCTGAAAGAGGAAGAGGAGTATGTAAAATATAAATTTTGTTTTGATGTAAATCATCACAACTTTTTATGGGTGATTTTTCACCAATATATTGTTTATAAACACAAGAAAATAAAATTCTTAGATCATCACTTGAACATTCTAAATTATCTTGTATTAATAACATAAATTCCAAACATATGTGAATTTGTACTAAATATAGTAGTCTTTTTCTGAAAGATATATTTATGTATACATTAACATATACACGTATACACATATATATATATACAGATCAAATATAATATAATAAATAACTTTTTTTATATATACCTATAAGTATCAATTGTAAATTCATCACATAAAGTATTTTTTAATTTTTGTTGAATATCGTGCAATTCGTCGAATCTTGAATTTATTAAAATATATATGTAATCTTTGTATAATTTTTCAAAACCCATATCTATGAGATATTCTAATGGTAAACTACCAGATAAGAAATGTGAAATTATTTTTTGCTGTTGTGGATTGTTAATTATTTTAGAAAATTTTGTTGAATTTGTAAAATTAACCTAATATTTATCAATTACATAATTAATTAAATTTAATGTAAAGTAAATTTAATTTTTTTTAATTCATATATTATACCTGTGGTAAACAATCATTTATTATAATTTCTTCAAGCACTGTATGAATGCATTTTATGATTTCAAAATAATTTGAATTCTCTGCAAATATGAATATTGTTTTATGTAAAGATATGAATATAAATATATTTAGTTAACATATACTTACTTATCAATAATTCCCATAAAATATCTGTAAAATCTAAATTATGTCTTAATGGTAAACTTTCTACACATTGATAAATTCTTATTTCATTTTCTAAATTTTCTTCATTTAAAAAATTAATTTTGTGTGCTTTAATATTATCAGATTTTCTAAAGCTATAATCTCCATTTAACAAAAGATTTAAATTATTTAATACTACATCATGTTCCTATTTATAACATAAAAAGTGATGAAAATAATATTAAACTTTAAAATATTACAAATATTTTAAACATAACAATAATTTTATATACTTCATTATATGGATTTATAAAATTCTGTGGAAATTTCAAAGGAATTGAATTGTAATGAGAACTTATGTTCTTTGTGTAATCTTCTACTATATTCAAATATTGATTTAATAATAATAATTGCTTCCATAATTCTTTTAAAGGACTATTATTTGAATTTGTAGGAATTTCTGCAATCTAAAACAGAAATAGAAAAAAATAATTAAAAAAAAAATATATTTAATTCATTATTAATCTTACCAAATTATTTTTGGATGCTCTTGTAACTGGATATAATGATAAACTACAAGTATCTACTTCTATACTTAGACTTCCTTCAAAATTATTTTTTATATTATTATCCTTATTAATTATTTTTTCTTTTGTTCCAAATAAATCAAAAGTATTAAATGCAGAAACACTAATCTAAATATAAATAAATAAAATATATTATAAATATAAACATAAAAATAATTTTTAAAAAAAATTAATACTGACATCTTGTTCACATGCATGTGAAAATTCCAAATGTTGCTGAAAAATTTTAGAGGAAGATTCTTTTAAAAATTCAAAAGTTTCAATCTCAGCTGAACAAACTTCTATTGTAGTAAACCATTCTTCTTCAATCATTGTACCTAATAATCTACTTCTTTTATTATCTTTACCATCACAAAGAGCAAATATTAAAAAGAAAGAATCATTTATAGATTCAATGCATGCATTCAATGCAGTACTAAAATAAAGTCATATTATAAGAATAACTAATAACTAATATATTATAAATATTATATAATAATATTATAATATATAAATTATATAAATTATAATAAATATTATATAATTATAAATATAATATATAATTAAAATTATAATATTACAAATAATTATTGTTATATTTTTATTAATTTACCATGCTTCTGTTCTATTTAA